GGCCGCGCGATCCGGCGGCAGCCGGGGCTACGCCGGCCGTGCGCCGGCTGGCGCCGGGTCGGCCGGGCCGGCGAGCGGACTGCGCGTAACAGGAGAGTATTTTATAAACGCTTGCCCTCATAGCGAAGGCATGGAGAATGGCGCGCGACTGCATTCTTCAACCAAGGGGAGAGAGTGCCGTGGCGCCTGTCGACGCGAAGCTCCGGCCATGCGAGATCTCGCTGTCGGAGGCGGAGTTGCGGGATTTCAACCGCAACGGCTTTGCCGGCCCCTTCGATCTCTACGAGCCGGAGGAGATCGGCGCGCGGTTCCGCGCCCTCCGCCCCAAGCTACTCGATACGCGCAAGGCCGCCTATCGCGGACGCGAGGGCGTCTCGGGGGTGACCAACCTGTCCAACTACGACCGGCACCTCGACATCGACTTCCTGGCCGATCATATCTGCCGGCCGGAGATCGTCGGCCGGCTGAACGCGATCCTGGGCCCGGACCTGCTCTGCTGGCGCAGCGAGTTCTTCCCCAAGTACCCGGGGGACGAGGGCACCGACTGGCACCAGGCCGCGAACTTCGCGAACGTCGCCGGGGACAAGAAGCCGCAGATCGAGTGGCCCGAAGGCGCCGGCTTCCAGGGGACGGTGACGGTCTGGACCGCCTTCACGGACTGCACCATCGAGAACGGCTGCATGCAGTTGATGCCGGGCACGCACCGGGTCATGCACTACGACGAGTCGAAGGCGATGGACTACGATGCCGAGCGCATCAACGGCGTCGAGAAGAACGGCACCCGCCGCGGCTTCTTCGGCTACGACTACCGTCAGCTTCAGATCGACCCGGACTGGTCGCCCGACGAGGCCCAGGCGCGGTCCATGTGCATGAAGGCCGGCCAGTTCATCATCTTCTGGTCGACCCTGCTGCACGCCTCGCACCCGCACCAGGGCCTCACCCAGGACATGCGCCTGGGCTTCGCCGCCCGCTACGTGCCCACCGTCGTGCGCGTCTACCCCTATTCGGACGGGCTCAGCGAGTTCGGCGGCGTCGCCTCGCTGGAGAAGCATGGCTGCGTGCTGGTGAGCGGTCGCGACGACTTCGGCCACAACCGCTTTGCGGCCACCACCGCCACCGGCATGCCCTTCAAGACCATTGCGGCCTGACGGCCCATCCCCTTCTGCCTCTACGACAAGGACGACCGGCCATGCAGGACCACGTGCGCTCTTCCGAAAGCCGCAGCCCCGACACCGAAGAGACCCTCGCCGCCATTTGGCAGGATCTGTTCGGCCGGGATGAAATCTCGCCGGAGGACGACTTCTTCGAACTCGGGGGGAATTCCCTGACCGCGATCAAGTTCCTGGCGCGGGTCGAGGACGTCTTCGGGCCGGAAGCGCTGCTGCCGGAGACGCTGTACGAGGATGCGCGGCTGCGCAGCCTGGCCGCGGCCATCGAGGCTGCGCGTCAGGCGCCGGTGCAGGAGGCTCTCGAGGCCTAGATGCCAGCCGATCGCCTGCGCGCGAGCCGCCTGTCGTGTCCGTGAGCGCCGGTGCCCCGGGCGCCTGGTTCGTGCCCTTCGGGCAGGCCGAGGCGGCCGCCTGTCGGCTCTACTGCTTTGCCCACGCCGGCGGCGGCGCGCAGACCTTTCGCGGCTGGCAGGCCCAACTGCCACCCGCGCTCGCCGCTGTCGGGGTCTGCCTGCCGGGGCGCGAGCGGCGCGTCCGGGAAGCGCCCTTGCGGCATTGGCCCGAGGCCCTGGCGGCGATCGTCGATGCCTTGGCCGAGCAGGCGGGGCAGGGGCCCTTCGCGCTGTTCGGCCACAGCCTGGGCGCGCGCCTCGCCTACGAGGCGGCCCATCGGCTCGCCGCGCGGGGACAGGCCGCGCCCGTGGCGGTGATCGTGGCGGGGTGCCATGCGCCGACCGTGCCCCGGCGTTGGCCGACAATGCACAAGATGTCGCAGGCCGAGCTGGTGGACTGTCTGCGCCGCATGGGCGGCGTTCCGGCGGAGGTTCTGGACGACGCGCGGATGATGGAGCTGCTGGCGCCCGTCCTGCGGTCCGACCTCGAACTTGCCGAGACCTGGCGCCCGACGCGCGCCCCGCTGGCTTGCCCGCTCGTCGCGCTGTGCGGCCGCGCGGATCAGGTGGCGCGCGAGGGCGACATGGCGCCCTGGCATCTGCAAACCCGCGACACCTTCGAGTTCTACAGCTTTCCGGGCGGCCACTTCTTCCCGCAAGAGCGCCAGGCGGAGGTTGTCGCGACACTCGGCACGGCGCTGCTGGACAAGCTGTCCGGTGCCGGGGCTCGACCGCTGCAACCAGGGAGTTCCGCATGGTGGTGACGGCGTCCAACCAGGTGGCGGCCTCCGGCGCGCCGCACCGCGCCGGTCCGGAGCGGGGCGTCGCCTGCCTGTTCCGGGCGGTGGCGGCGCGTTACCCGCAGGCGGTGGCGTTGCGGCAGGCCGGCGCGTCCCTCACTTACGCTGAGCTCGATGCCCGCGCCGAGCACCTGGCGCAGCACCTGCGCGCCCGGGGAGTCGGCAAGGGCGACATCGTCGCCATCGCGCTCGCGCGGTCGTTCGAGATGGTCGCGGGCCTGCTGGCCGTCCTCAAGAGCGGCGCGGCCTACCTGCCGTTCGACCCCGGCCTGCCGCCGCAGCGCGTCGCCGCCCAGCTCGAGGATGCGCGCGTAGAGCTGGTCCTGGTCGACGGCGCGGCGCGCGCGCGGCTGGGGCCGGCGCGCTGGACCCTGGTCGAGGTCGGGGCCGCCCTGCGCGCGGACACGCCGGCGGTGCCGCGCGCCGCCGCGGCCCCGGCCGGGGGCGAAGACCTCGCCTACGTCAACTACACCTCCGGGTCGAGCGGCGCGCCGAAGGGCGTGATGATCCCCCATCGCGGCGTCACAAGCCTGTTGCTCGAGCCGTCCTACGCCAGGCTGGGCCCCGGGCGAAGCGTCCTGCAACTGGCGCCGCCGAGCTTCGATGCCATGACCTTCGAGTTGTGGGGGCCGCTGCTGCACGGCGGTACCTGCGTGCTCTTCGACGGCAAGCTGCCGACGCTGGGCGCCCTGGCCCGAACCCTGCAGGCGAACCGCGTCACCACGCTGTTCCTGACCACCGCGCTGTTCAATGCCGCGATCGACGAGGCCCCCTCGGCCCTGGCGGAGGTCGAGGAGCTGCTGACCGGTGGCGAGGCCCACTCGCCCGCCCATATGCGACGCGCCCGGCGCCTGCTGGCGCAGACTCGGATCTCCAGCGTCTACGGGCCGACGGAGGCGACCACCTTCGCGACGCAGTTCCCGATCGACCGGCTGGACGAGACGGCCGCGAGCGTTCCGCTCGGGACCGCGATCAACAACCGCCAGGTCCTGGTGGTCGACGCGTCGGGCCGGCGCTGCGGCCCCGGCGCGCCGGGCGAGATCGTGATCGCGGGACCGGGACTCGCGCTCGGCTACCTCAACAGACCGGAGGAGACCTCCGCCCGCTTCGTTACGGGGCTGGCCTGTCTGCCGGCCGGCGAGCGGGCGTATCGCACGGGTGACCGCGCGCGCTATCTGGAGGGCGGGGTGATCGAGTTTCTCGGTCGTGCCGACGACCAGGTGAAGATCAACGGGTATCGTGTCGAGCTCGGCGAGATCGAGACGAACCTGATCGCCCTCGACGGCGTCGACCGCGCCTGCGTCCTGCTCGATGAGAGCCGGGGGGAGAAGCGACTGGTTGCGGCGCTGGTCGCGCCGGCCTCCGCCGTCCCGCGTGCGCGCCGGGCGCTTGCGCAGAGGCTGCCGGCCTACATGCGGCCCTCGTGCTACCTGACCCTCGACGCGCTGCCGTTGACCGCCAACGGCAAGGTCGACCGGGCGGCGGTGCTGTCGCTGGCGCTGGCGTGGGAGCAGGGTGGGCGATGACCTTGGCCGCCAGCCGCTTCCTCGGGCGAGACCACGAGAGTTTCCGCCGTCGCGTCCGCAGCTTTCTGGCCCGCGAAATCGCGCCGCAGGCGCGCCTGTGGGAAGCGCGGGGCGAGATCCCCCGCGAGGCTTGGCGGAGCCTGGGGCGCGAAGGCCTTCTCGGGCTGCACCAGAGTCCGGCGGTCGGCGGCAGCGGGCTCGACTTCCTGCACTCGGCCGTCTTCCTCGAGGAGGTGGGGCGCCTCGGGTTCGGCGGATTGCGCTTTTCCGTGGCGCTCCACGCCTACATGGCCAGTCCCTACCTGGCCCTGGCCGGCAGCGCCGAGCTGAGCCGGCGGTTCCTGCAACCGGCCGTGGCCGGCGAGTCTATCGTGTCGCTGGCGATCACCGAGGCCGCCGGCGGCTCCGACCTTTCGGCCCTGGCCGCGACGGCCGTGCGCGACGGCCCGGATTACCGGCTCGACGGCGAGAAGGTCTTCGTGGCCAACGGCGGCTTCGCGGATGTCTTCATCGTCGCCGTGCGCACCGAAGGGGCGCCCGGTTCGCGCGGTCAGGCGGGCATCAGCCTGTTCGTCGTCGAACGCGACCGCGCCGGCCTTCGGGTGGAGCCCAACGACTGCGTCGTCTGGCGCGCCGCCGCGATCTCCGACCTGCGCCTCGAGTCGGTGCGCGTGCCGGCCGCGAACCTCATCGGCCGGCCCGGGGCGGGGTTCATGCTGATCATGCGGCAGATGCAGATGGAGCGGCTCGCGGCCGGCCTCGTCGCCATCGGCGACGCGGCGAACTGCCTGGCGATGACCTGGCGCTATCTCAGCGGCCGGCACGCGTTCGGCGGCACCTTGAGCGACCGGCAGGCCGTGCGCCACCGCATGGCCGATCTTCTCACCGAGGTGGAGGCGGCGCGCCAGCTCGCCTACCACGCCGCCTGGCGCTTCTCGCAAGACCCCCTGGCCATCACCGAATGCTCGATGGTCAAGCTGAAGGCCGTCGAGGTCTGCAAGACGGTGGCCGAGACCTGTCAGCACCTGCACGGTGCCGAGGGCTTCCGTGCCGGTTCGGACCTGGTGCGGATCGTCCAGGACGCGCGGGCCGCGGCGGTGGCCGGTGGCGCCAGCGAGATCATGCGCGATATCATCGCGCAGAACGGGCTTGCCGAAGGCGGCGGGGCCACGGATGCCTAGAAACGCCCTCGAGGACTCCACCGAAGGGCGCCGCCACGCGGCGGGCGCGGGCAGGGGGACGGGCCGGTCGATCCCGCTGCAGGCCGCGGCCGCCGGCGTGCTGGCCGCCTTCGTCGGCTTCTCGAGCTCCTTTGCCGTCATTGTCGAAGGTCTGTCGACCGTCGGCGCGACCCAGAGCCAAACCGCCTCGGGCCTGATGGCCGTCTCGGTCGCCATGGGACTTTGCGCGATCCTGCTGAGCCTGCGCACGCGCATGCCCATCAGCATCGCCTGGTCGACGCCGGGCGGCGCTCTGTTGGCCGCCTCCACCGCGCCGAGCGAAGGTTTTGCCGCGGTCATCGGCGCCTTCCTCCTGGCGGGCGGGCTGACGGTCCTGGCCGGCCTTTGGCGGCCGCTCGGGCGCGCCGTCGCCTCGATTCCCGGTCCCTTGGCGAACGCGATGCTGGCCGGCGTGCTGCTGCCGCTGTGCCTCGCGCCCGTACAGGCGGTGATCGAATTTCCCGCCCTCGGGCTCGCCATCGTGGTCACCTGGGCGCTCGTCGGCCGGCTCAACAAGCTCTACGCCATGCCCGCCGCGGTCCTGGTGACCGGCATCCTGATCTTTGCGACCACCGAGATCACGGCCGCGGAGTTGGGGCCGCTCTGGCAGGCGCCGGAGTTCGTCGTGCCGGAGTTCTCCCTGGCGGCGATGATCGGGATCGGCCTGCCGCTGTTCCTGGTGACCATGGCGTCGCAGAACATCCCGGGCATCGCCGTGCTGAAAGCCAACGGCTACCGGCCCGAGCCGAGCCCCCTGTTCAGTTGGACCGGGGGCTTCAGCCTGCTGGCCGCGCCCTTCGGCGGACACGGCGTGAACCTCGCCGCGATCACGGCCGCCATCTGCGCCGGCGAGGAGGCCGGGCCGGATCGCGCGCGGCGGTACTGGTCCGCCGTGATCGGCGGCGCCATCTACGTGCTTCTCGGCCTGGGGGCGGGTGCGGCGACCGCCTTCATCGGCGCGTCGCCGCCGATCCTCATCCAGGCCGTGGCCGGGCTGGCGCTGCTCGGCGCGCTCGGCGCCTCCCTGATGGCGGCGGTGTCCGAGCCCGGCGACCGCGAGCCGGCGCTGGTCACCTTCCTGGTCACGGCGTCGAGCGTCAGCGTGCTCGGCGTGAGCGGGGCCTTCTGGGGCCTCCTGGCCGGCGGCGCGCTTTACGCGCTGCAGCGCTTTCGGCGTTCCAAATCATGAAGGCCGAGCGATAAGACGAAGCGAGACGCTAACCGCCCCGCGGCTCGGCTCCGGGCGGTCCGCCGGCGCCGTCCTCGGGGCGCGTCCGGCTTTGGCTGTCGTCCGCCGCGAGGTAGCGCTCGAGACTGTCGTTGTAGGCGACGAGGGCCGCTTCGAGCGTGCCGAACAGGTGCTCGCGGTTGGCGCCGGACCGCAGCCCCCTCTGGATCCGGCGGAAGATCTCGAGATCCTCGTACTGCACCTGATAGGTGAACTGCCGGTTCGCCTCCCACGCCGCGGTCCCGTCGCCTTGCGCCGGGGGCTTGGGCACGAGCAGACGCAGCTTGACGCGCGTGCGCTCCGGGCCGAGCGGATGGGCGGTGATCCACAGAAAGTGATCCGACTGATGCAGAACCGTCTCGTTCGGAAAGATCGTGTGGATCACGTTGGCCACGGTGACGAGCTTCCAGTCTTCGCGGGCCTTGCGATCGAGCAAGCGGATCGAGCGCTTGGGCAGGACCGAGCGCAGGTGCGGGCCGAAGCGGTCGAAGAAGAAGCCGTTGTTCTCGAACAGCGTATGGGCGCTCTTCGGGTGCAGGGTGGAGAAGTGATAGCTCTCGAGAGTCCCCTCGATGACAAGCTTCCAGTTGATCTCCCAGACATGGCTCTCGAAGCCGAAGACCTCGAACGCGCCCAGGTCGAGGTCCGCCAAGTCGTCCGTCAGGCCGCCGAGGAACGCGGCCAGCTCCGCTTCGCCCTGGCCCGGCTCCGGCATCAGCCAGATGAAGCCGTAGGCTTCGACGGCACAGAGCTCGACCAGATTCCGGCAGCCCGGGCGAACGGAGGGAAAGCAGTGCGCGTTGGGGATGGCGCGCAGCCGCCCATCGCTATCGTAGGACCAGGCGTGATAGCCGCAGACGAAGCGCTTCTTCTGTCCGCGCTCGGCCGTCTCCAGAAGGGCGCCGCGGTGCCGGCAGACGTTGAGGAAGACGCGCGCGCGGCCCTCGGCGTTGCGCGTGACCAGCAGGTCCCGGCCGAAATGCTCCAGCGTCACGAAGGAATGCGGCTCCGGCAACTCGGAGCCGTGGACCAGCATGTTCGGCAGCCTGGAGAAGAGGCGGTCGCGCTCGGCACGGTACCAGTCGGGCGACAAGTAGCGCTCCACCTCGACGCTGCTGTCGCTTTGCCCGGGTGACAGCGTCGTGTCGTGCAGCCCCAGCAAGGCTCTGTCGAGCAGATCGAGCTCCACCTCGCGCTTCATGCAGGCCCTCCCGCGCGGCCCCTCGCGATCCCGGCTTCTCGTTGCACAGTAGAGCAGGGACGGGGTAAATCACAACCCTGGGGCTATGGGGCGCGGTCTCCGAGACGCAGCCGTGGTCCGGTCAGAGCCACCTTGGGACGGGACCCATGCAGGCAGCTCCGGTCTGGACGATCGACACCACGGCGCGGCTGGCCCGGGGCGAGAGGCTTGATTGGGACCGCAGCGGCGTTCTGGTGGCGCTCGCCCCGCGCCGACTCGCGCAAGAGGTTCCGCTGTCCTTGCTCGCAGCGGAGGAACGCGCCCGGCACGAGCGGTTTCGCCGGCCGCAGGACCGCCAACTCTTTCGTCTCGCCCACGGGCTCAAGCGTCTGGTAATCGCCCGCCTCCTGGATGTCCCGCCGGCCGCGCTTCGCTTCGCCACCGCCTCCTCCGGCAAGCCCGACCTGCGCGACGGCGCGTTGCGCTTCAATCTCAGCCACGGCGGCGACTGGGTCGCGCTGGCGGTCGCCGGTTCGCGCGCGGTCGGTATCGACGTCGAAGCCGCCGACCGCGATGTCGGGGAGGAGTTGGCCGGGGTCATTCGGCATCCCGACGACCGCATCGTCGACGGGCGTGGCCGTGGCCGGGAGCTGCTGGTCGCCTGGACGGTCAAGGAGGCGATCGGAAAGTGCGCCGGCTTCGGCATTCGCGTGCCCTTTCGGGAGCTGCCGGTGGTGGCGCTGCGCGGCGGACTGTACCGCGGCGCCTACCAAGGCGAGCGGTGGGGGGTGCGCCAGGGCCTGGTGCTGCCTGGCGGCTGTCTGGCCGTCGCCGTGCCCTGGCCGCCCGTTCCGATGACGACGGTGCTGTTCGACGCGTGAGGGCGCGCGGGCTCACAGCGCCATCGCCGCGCCGCCCGCAGGCCGGTGCAGCAGCTCGGCGAGCCGCTTCAGGCCGGTGGCCAGGCGCGCCTCGCTCGCCTCGTGGCTGAGGCAGATGCGGATCGCCTCCGGCGGGCCGGATGCGGCGGCGGACGCGGCCGGCAGACGGTCCGGCGTGGCGAAGTCGCGGGCGGTGGCGACCAGCACGCCCTGGCGCGCCGCGGCCGCCTGGAAGACATCGGCCGTCCAGCCTTCGGGCAGCGGCAGCCAGATGTGGAGCCCCTGCGGCGCGGCGGCGTAGTTCCCGGCGCCCAGCAGGTCGCGCGCCAGCCGCTGGCGCCGCTGGGCGGCGGCGCGCTGCTCTTCGGTGAGCTGCGCGGCGGTGCCGTCGAGGATCAGCCGCGCGGCGATCTCCAAGGTCAGAGGCGGTGTCATCCACGCACTGAGCTTGACCGCGTGGCGCAGCGCCGGCCCCAGGCGTTCCGGCGCGCGCAGGACGCCCACGCGCAGGCCCGGCGCGACGCACTTCGAGAGGCTGGTTACATAGACCGTGCTGTCGGGCGCGTGGCGGCAGATCGCCTCCGGCCGATCGGGCGGCAGCCGGCCGAAGACGTCGTCCTCGATTATCAGGACACCGTGTCTTTGGGCGATCGCCGCGATCGCCCGGCGGCGCTCGGCCGAAAGCGTCGCCGTGGTCGGCGCCTGCAGGGTGGGGGTGAGATAGAGGGCCTTGGGCGCCGCCGTGGCGCAGGCCCGCGCGAAGGCGTCGGGGCAGAGGCCGCCGCGGTCCAGCGCCACGCCGGCGGTCTTCAGGCCGAGACGCGCGGCCATGGCCAGGACCGGTGCGTAGGTCAGCGCTTCGGTCAGCAGCAGTTCGCCGGGCCGCAGCAGCGCCATCAGGCTGCACAGCAGGCCGTGCTGCGCCCCGTTGGTGACAAGGGTCTCCTCCGGCCCGGCCGCGACCCCGCAGCTCTCCAGCCAGGCCCGGGCCGCCCCGGCGTGCAGGGCCAGGTCCCCGTCGGTCTGATAGTCGAGCAGCGCCGCCACGCCGCCGCCGCGCGCGATTGCGTCGAGGGTGCGTCGCAGATGCGGCGCCGCCAGGCCCGGCAGCGGCAGGTTGCGCGACAGGTCGATCGGCCCCTGTGCGGCGCGGCGCAGGTCGCCGACCGCGCCGGAGTCCGACGGGGCTTCCGCCGCGCGGACGTAGGTGCCGCGCCCGACCTCGCCGCGCAGCAGCGCCCGCCGCACGCCTTCAGCATAGGCCCGGTTGGTCGTGTTGGGCGACAGGCCGAGCCGGTAGGCCAGCTCGCGGTGCGGCGGCAGCCGCGTGCCCACCGGCAGCCGCCCGGCGGCGATGTCTTCCGCCATCGCCTCGACGATCTGCAGGTACTTCGGGCCGGGCCGCCCGTCGAGCCGTGGAAGCCAGATTGCCATCAGGTCAATGTTTCCATTGCGTTATCCCCCAGTCTGCAGGCAGCAAAGAGAGCAATCAATGCAATTTGGATCGTAGTGATGGCAATCAGTCGAAACCCCGTCGCAAAAGGCAGTCTCCTGGCCCTGGTCTGTCTGGTCCTGCTGGGGGTCATGCCGATCATCGCCAACCTGCGCCTCGGCCAGGTCGCGGCGCTGCCCTTCGCCCTCGCGCTCTCCCTCTGGCAGATCGTCTTCGCCTTGCCGGTCTTCGCCCTGGAGCTGCGCGGCGCCGACAAGGGGCTGTTCGGCGCCAGCCTGTCGGCGCGGGTCCGGCGGCGGGTGATTGCGGTCGCCCTCGCCACCGGCGCGATGTTCGGCCTTTCGACCTATCTCTACGTCCTGGGCGTCGAGAAGGCCGGGGCGGCGAACGCCGCCATCGCGATCCAGGCCTATCCGCTGTTCGCGATCCTGTGGGAGAGCCTGTTCCTCAAGCGCCGCAAGACGGTCGTCGAACTGGTCCTGACCCTGCTGCTGCTGGCGGCGCTCTATTACCTCGGCACCGGCGGGACCCTGCGCCTGTCCGGCCTGTCGCCCTGGTTCCTGCTCTGCCTCGGCGTGCCGTTGCTGTGGAGCGTCGCCCACGTCCTGATCAAGGAGGAGCTGAGCCAGACACCGGTCACGCCGGCCCAGGTGACCTTCTTCCGGGTGGCCCTCTCGGCGCTGTTCCTCCTGGCCGTCTCGGCGGTCGTGGCGCCGGCCGGGCTGGGCCCGCGGGTCGCTGCGGCGGTGCTCCAGCCGGTATCGGCGGTGATGGGGCTGGTCTACTTCCTGGAGCTGATCGTCTGGTTCCATGCCGTGCGCCACATCGACGTCTCGCTGGCGAGCTCGATCACCACGCCCTGGCCGGCCTTGACCATGGTGCTGGCGGCGGTCTTCCTGGGCGAGGCGATCGCCCCCTATCAGGTCGGCGCGCTGGCGGTCGTCGTCGCCTGCATCTACGGGCTGACGCTGGCCGGCCTGCGCAAGCCGGCGGCGCGCGCCCCGGCCGTGGGCACGGCCGCCGCCCGCGATGCCGAGTAGGCCGTCGCCTGTCGCGCGAGCGCCTGGACGGCGTCAGAAACGGCCCGTCTCGACATCGTGCAGGAAGCTCTCGGCCGCCTCGACGATCTGCCGGCCGAGGTAGGCGTACTGCCGGGAGAAGGGCGGCCAGGCCTCGCCCAGGCCGAGCAGGTCGTTGATCACCAGCACCTGGCCGTCGCAGGCCTTGCCGGCGCCGATGCCGATCGTCGGGATCGCCAACGCCCGGGTGATCTCCGCCGCCAGCGCGTCGGGGATGTGCTCGAGCACCAGCAGGAAGGCGCCGGCGCCGGCGATGCGCTGCGCCTCCTCGGCGATGCGGCGGGCGTCGTCGGCGTCGCGGCCGACCTGCTTGAAGGTCGCCGCGGTCTGCGGCGTCAGGCCGGTGTGCCCGACCACGTCGATGCCCTCGGCCACCAGCGCCGCGATCACCGCCGCCTTCGGCCCCTCCAGCTTGACGCTGTCGGCGCCGGCCTGGAGCAGGTGGCGGGCGCTGCGCACGGCCGTCTCGGGGTCGCGGTCGCAATCGTAGGGCAGATCGCCGACGATGTGGGTGTGCGGCGCGCCGCGGCGCACCGCGCCGATGTGATAGGCCATGTGGTCGAGCGTCACCTCGCGGGTGCTCGCGAAGCCCATCTCGACCATCCCGACCGTGTCGCCCACCAGCAGCAGGGGCACGCCGGCGCGCTCCAGGCTGCGCGCCACCGGCGTGGTGTAGGCGGTCAGCATGGCGATGGGACGCCGCCCCTTCAGCGCGGTGAGCTGGGCGGCGGTGAGCTTTTCCACGAACGTCTCGGACATGACTGGCTGGGCCCTCCTGGGTGTTGCGCCGCCCGGCGCGGACCCGCCTTCGCGCGTCCGCCGGCAGCGAAAAATCACCGATTCCAATGTGTTCCGGCGAAGTCGGCCGCTCCGGGGGACGCGCAAGGCGCCCCTTTTCGCGCGCGCTCCGCGCACGCTCCCTGTCCTGGCCCAGGCGGGCGTCGGCCGCAAGTGGAAGGGCGCCGCAGTCCCTCGCCTGTGCGTGGCACCGCGCCTCGACGGTGAAGCCCGGCGCCGGTCGCGCGAGGCTTGGCGCCGCCCGGCCGTCTTTTCCGGGCGCGCCTTGGGCCGAACCGGCGGCCGGCGGTCGTCGGCGGGGGCGCGGACTCGTTCTGGTAGAATCAAATTGGCGCGTCCTCCCGCTTCGGATATCATTTCGAGGCCCGCGAGAGGCACAAGAAGAAGCGCAGGGTAAGCAAAGCAAGAAGCGCAGAAGAAGAGGCGCAGAGGCACCAGGGAGGAAAGCGATGAGAACTTGGCTCTTGTGCAGTGCAATAGCTGTCGGACTGGCGGCGGGAGCGGCGGCTCCGGCGGCGGCGCAGTCGAACCTGGAGCGGCTCGGCCAGTTCAAGACGACCGGCGTGAAGGACTTCACCTATGTCGAGCAGGGCGGCGAGAACGCCGCGGCGATCCGCCGGATCCTGGAGCGGATCGAGCTGCCGCCCGGCTTCGCCATCGACCTCTACGCCATCGTGCCCGACGCCCGCCACATGGCGGTGGGCCCCCAGGGCATCGTCACCTTCGTCGGCACCCGCAAGACCGACGTCTGGGCGGTGACCGACCGCAACAAGGACCGCGTCGCCGACGAGGTGAAGCGCTTTGCGCCCTCGCTCGACCTGACCATCCCCAACGGCCCCTGCTTTTCCAAGGACGGCTTCCTCTTCATCGCCGAGCAGAACCGCGTGCTGATGTA